ATTTTTTGATCATCATTTAACTCAAAATCAATTTATAGTCTCGGAACCCACTTTTAATAGCAAAGCTCCCATATGAAGGAAATGCAATTAGCATTAAGTCCCAGCTCAGGATCAAGCAAAAGGATGCATTTATGGAGAGCTGACTGTAGCTTAAAAAAAGGTTTAAGTTTCTCGATTTTTTTCAAGTGGAATATCAGCTTTGGTAAATGCATTAATAAGATATATATTAATTTCTTGTTTTTCTAATCTAATTTGATAAATACTTAGTATAGTTATTTGTAAAGCTTCGGTATTATTTTTTCTTTTTAAATGTATTGATAAGTTTATATGAGCTTACAATAGATTTGCATTCATATTTAGCTACATGATTGCAAAATTTACAGTATAATTTTTTATTTTCTAGACGAAAATGTTTTGAAAATTTGAATCTTTCTATAATCACTTAGATGTCATAACCATTTTGTAAAAAAAAAGATGCAGATGATCAATTAAAATTTATTTCTTAAATGATAAATACAATAAAATACAATATAAGATCATATGAAATATATAAAAAATGATGAGATTACCTCAAAAGTACGATGCAGATATTATATAAAATTATAATGTATAAATGCAAAATTATGTAAACATATGAATTTGTGAGATTTAATACATTATATAAAAACATTAATATAATATATATTCACACACTTTAATTCATTAAATATAATATGAACTTTAGTTTACTAAATTTAGTATAATAAGATTTTTTATATTTAAAAATCTGTATTATACTGAAAATCTTTATATTATAAAATTTTTTATATCAAAGTTTGCTATAAAAAGAGTTGACTGTATTATATTGCATAACTTACTAAGCAAACCTATGACAAATAATTCAATTAAAATAATAATATTAAAGCTTAGTAGAAATGTTAACAACTAATTATATATTTTTTAATATATTAAAAGGCTTTATTTTATTTATACTCACATTTTTACTTATGCTTTTCATTTTACATTTATGGGTCCTTAATAATAACTTTTTAGTAACATACATTATCTTATTGAAAAATATTTACCATTTATTTTTTCAAATTCTTTTAAAAATAGTATTAAATAATAGTTAAAAATCTTTTTTATATACTTTTTACTATTAACTTAAATATTGATTCTTATTAAAAAACTTAAATTATATTATAAAAATACCTATATATTGTAATAAACTAAAAAGTTATCTTATAGATTACATGATTTTTACTTTGTCACAAAATCCATCCAATTAGCTAAATTGGCAGATCCTCAACATCTGTCTAATCTGCTAAAACTGGCAGACCTTCAAAATTTGTTAGATTAACTAAATCTGCTATATATGTAATATATATTAGGTATACAATGAAAGACCAATTATTACCGTTTAAGATATCCCTCTTTTTGAATACCCTACTTTAAAAGACCTGGGTATTTTATTACATATAAAATTTATTATCTATTTTAAGATCTGAATATGATTCAATTTTAATCACAGATGTTTTATAAGAGACTCAGGTATTTTATACTGAAATAATAACAAATTTATAAAATAAAAAAAAACTTTATTTATTATTATTGAATAAATACTATGAAATTAATAATTTTTCTAAATATTCCAATTATGAATTACATTACAATCTTCATTACTTTTATAATAATCATTTTCATATTCATCATTATTTTTCAATTCATTCTCATTACCATTATCACCTGATTTATTTTCATTATCATTCTGCTCATCCGCTTTTTCAATTCCTCTCCCTTGATTATTTATATCTTCTACTTTATTAAAATCAAAAATTAAATCATATTCTGTTCCATCAATTGCATTGGAAGCATCACAATATTTAAATAAACAATTGATCATATTAGGATCAATAGTATCCCAGCTTTCCTTTACCCAATTAGCAACAAGTGAATAAGATGGTCTTTTAATTTTTCCAGATGGTGTATATTCTTTAATAGCATTATTCATCTAATCATTATAACGTTTCCGCATCTATTTTTTTTTTAAAAACATTAATATTAATTATTTAAATAATAAATAAAATAAAATAAATAAAATACCTTAGCCTTAAAGGATTTATTTAATGATACATCAAGTGGTTGTAAACGAGAAGTTAACCCACCCAAAATAATAGTTAAATCAGTATTTTTTTCATAAAATCGATATTTTATAACATCAGTTCTATATGCAGTAAAAGAATCTAATACTAAAAGAGATTTTGAATTACTGCCTCGTCTTGCACATCATGTCCAAATATTTTTCACCTACCAAAACATTTCATTTTTATTCATCCAACCTTGAGAATTAGCATGAACAATTACACTATCAGAAAACTCTTCTCGAGAAACATTTACAAGTTTAAAAATAATTACAGGTGGTAATTTGCTTTCATTGGCCATACAACTTAAAACAACAGTAAAATTTGAACGCTCATGTTCAGTTGATAAAATTAAAACAGTTTTAGTACTGCATTGTTCAACTGTTGTATTATTTGGTAAATTAAATGATATTGGTATTTCATCCATATTTCCAATTAAAGATAATGGATAATCATATTTTTTTCGACAAAATAAGACATAAGATAAAAATTCATTCTGTTGTTTTATATAATTTTCTGGAAGCTATTGAGCAACTGTTGTTTTTCTTCTATTAATCAAGTCATGACAGCTCATAAAACTATTAACCCATTTTTGTGAAAAACTCACATTTTTTATATCAGGATATTTTAATTGATAGTCAATTTTTTTAGCTAAAGAACGTGCTTTTGTTTGAACTATGTAATGAGAAACAACTTTTAAATGGCTTAGGGATTCTTTAAACCATTCAAAAAGTTCATCCTCAAGTAATAGGTATTTTGGACGAGCACCTGTGTTAAGTTTTTGAATATGAGGAGCTGCTTTTAACAGTTATTCTTTATTGTTCAACCACTCTCGAAGTTGTTTAGGCTGAATGTTAAACTTCTCTACAGTTAAACATTTGTTATGGCCTTTTTCATGATATGTAATTACTATTGGTTTTTCTCGTACTGACCATTAACGTTTCATTTTTTTTGTAACCCTAGCACGACGGGTCTTAAAATTTCCACAAACCATATTTCTAAAAATAAGATAAAAGAAATGTTAACATATTTTTAGATATAATTATCTTTAAAAAATTATTTTTTAATACCTTATAGTTTTAAAATCTGATAAAAAGAAAAACTTATAAAAAACGCAAAAAAGTAACCTTTAAAATACCATTTTCTTTCAAAATGCGTTTCATTTTCCGAATAAATAAAAGCATTTTCTAGAGTTTTGATAATTGCTATATCAGTAATTAATGAGTATGACTTTTGATAAAAAGGATAATTTATTACCTATCTTATTTCTCCGAATATTAGATACCAATACTATCATAATATTCCCGAATATATAAAAAACTCCCGAAAGCAAAATTTGAAATTGAAATTCAAATAAAACTAACTGGTCATATTTTGATGTTTTACATTTTTTATCATAAAAAAAATTGTTCTTTTTTGTGAATTCTCTAAATATAAAAACTATCTAAACATAAATTCTCAAATAAAAAAATTTACATATGATCATTCATCGTTCGGCAAATTTAAAGAACACTAAAATTTGTCATATTTTTATTGGATAAAAAGTGTGACATCAAAAATGGCGATCACTAAACTTTTATCGTTTAGATTATCACAATGTTAATAATACCTCCTAACTTATAATAT